TTATTAGAAAATGTACCTACACATTATCGTAAGGTAATACACTGCCTCACAGCATGTTTTTAAAGAAAGTAAGAGATAGAGAGGGAAAAAGTTGAGCTAAGAGAGATGGGAGGGGTGGTATGAATGGAAGGAAGGGTAGAAGGAAAAATGGAAGGAAGAAAGGACAGTAGAAAGGAAGGACATCTTAAACTAGTGTCAGTGGAGAAGCTCAGGACAAATAACTTATTCCCCACCCACCTCCACACAGGGGAAGACGAAGCAGTGGTTAGAAAGGAAATTAAAAGTATCCAGCAGGATGTCTTCTGCACAGTTGTACAAAGGCCAGGACGTGTATTTTGTGAAAGCAGCAAAAAGCAAAAGAGTGTATTGCTCATGCTACCCTCTGGGGAAAGTGAAAAGGTGAACTCAAACATGAGTCTATATTTACTTTCATGGACATTAAACACCAAAAATATACACAAGGAAAAACTAAATCTATTTCTCACTATCAGGAGGGTTTGTGGAAGGCAGAAGAACATCCTTGGAAGTGGACCTAGTACAACGGTAATGGCTGTTTACTTTTAATTGGATGAGGATCTATCCACACTGGCACCTACATGGCAGTTAAAGACAAACAAACAAACAAACAAAAAAAACTGTGAGGGTGTGTGTATGCTTGTTTGTGTGGGGTTTTGAGTGTGTAACTCAGCCAAACCTTCATGTAGAGCTTTACAGGAGAGTATGTAAAACAGATTGCCCTCTAGGAAGGTGCTGTCTGTGTGGCACCATTTGGGTCTCCTTCTGACCCATGGACCTCCAACCTGGGGCAACAAATGGCAATAATTACCTGGGTCCCCTGAAGGTGAGCCAGGTCACCAGTCTGACTTCTGACTTGCCATGGGCACTAGTAATCACTCCTGCTACCATAATGCCCTATTCCGTCTCCAGTTCCTGACTCCTGAGACCTTGCCCTGGATGAGGTTGCTCAATGAATCCAACAAAGCCAATGAGACAATGCTAAGAGGGAAATCAAGATATTCCTCTTAACTTGGAAACCCTGGTGGTGTAGTGGTTATAGAGCTATGGCTGGTAACCAAATGGTCGGCAGTTCGAATCCACCAGGTTCTCCTTGGAATCCCTATGGGGCAATTCTACTCTGTCCTGTAGGGTCGCTATGAGTCAGAATTGACTCGACAGCAACGGGTTCCTCTTGACCTAAGTAAGAAGTGAAAGCTAAAATCCTACCTAAGAAGGCCTGTATGTCTACAGGTGTGAACAAAAATCTGGGCATCTATTAACATAGAATTTTGACTTAGGGTTCTTATAGAAATAGATGTAGCAATAGGTAAAGATAAGTATGCATGTATACATGTATTCGTACTAATATTTATATACGTATATACACAGCTATGTATTTAAAATAAAAAGCCAGAAAGAAACAAAAAGCACTTACCCCAACATCCCAATGCAGTAAACCCCACTTGGAAGCCTAGATTGCTTCTGGGACTTGTTTGGCTTTTTTAATCAGGAAAGGGCAGAGGGAGAGGCAAGGACAAAAAAGTGCCTGGCATTTGTGATTCAACAGTGCCCTCAAACGGATGCTTTCTTGAGTCCTTCTAGGTGTCAGTTTTAGATAAGGTCTGTGATAAGAGGAAGGGTAGGTTGGGAAGTATTCAGAGGATCCTGGGACCTACTGTGCCACCTCCAGAGCTGGTGCAAAAGCCACAGAACCCGGCTTCCCTACAAATAAACCTCAGACTGCCAGGCCTGCCAATATTCTGGGAGCTGTGAGGGGTGTGGCCTCAGCATGTTTGGGAGAAATGGGAAACGTGGGATTTCTCGCTAACACTGAACTCCACTGAATCCTCAAGGGGGGTG